AAAAGAAAATTACTGATCTAGTATGTAGCAATAGTGAACCTGGCAATAAGGTGGCAAACAGTGCAGAATGAGAGTAAACTATAGCTACCACTAACTGACCACGAAGAGTCAAACACATAATCTGCTTTAATTATTTATTAATCTGTATAATATACATATTAAATGTAGGGAAAACAGAATGTAGGACCCAGGATTCAAGGCGAGACAGAGAGTGGGAAAGTTCAAAGCATTTAATGACAAAAATAACAGAATGAAACAGAAAATGCGGAGCGGTGGACCTGCAGTGGCTGCAGGGGGAGGCGGGACACAATCCATCACTGGTACTCTGGTTTAAAGAGGAACACAGCTAAGTGACCATGATAAACTGGTGGAAGATGATTTTCCGTTTGAGGTTCCGATCCGAACAGGAACAGATTGACGCTCAGATGGAAAGAAGCAGGCTCAGCAGTTGAGAGGCAGAAATATGACACGACACCAGGAATACTGCGGAACTTTAAACTAGCTCCGTCCACTGAGCCAAAACAGGAGCAGGGCACGCTCAATGGACAGGGGCCAGGACATGATACAAACACCAAGACACAACTAATGACCCTCTCTAAACACTGGCCTCAGAGAAAGAAAACAAGAACTACGGAAAAAACTCACACAGATAGAAGCATCATATAATGATCTGGCCCAGATAGCTGGGCTGAGCTAAATATAAAGTAGCAGGAGCAGCTGGATAAGATGAATGATGATTAGTAACCAGTGAGGGCTAGGCTGGTGAGTGAAATGAACAATTAGGTCATCTATCAGGACCTCGATCATGACATTAAACGGTTTAAGTCATTGTTCTTTATCATTAATTACATAGATATAGATATCCAAAAGACTTCTAGATGACAATGTGAATACCATGTTTACCTTCTCTTCACAGAAACTATTTCTGAAAAGATTGTGACAAATTAAATACTATATTCTTTTTGTCAGTACATGGTTAATATGCTATGAAGCGAAATATCAAATCAGTTGGAGCATTCCTCTAAAGAGTATTACTGCTTCCACCCCCTGCTTTAGAGGGGAATTGCTTCTATTAGACATGTGCATTATGTCTATGTGGAAACAACAAATCACCGATGGGGTCGCCATGGCCACCCCTTGGCCTCCATCTAGCTCCGCCCCTGTCTCTGCAAGGCTATTAAAGCGTTTTTCATGGTTCCCTTTCATGAGCCACAAATGCTACAGGAAGCAGAGAGCTAGAGGGCTTATTGTTGACAAGCATCTTAAAAAATGTTGGTCCAACAAGTGAGGCGAAGCTCCTGTGTGAATTCAAGGAGATTATCTCTTTAACGTATGCTAATGGATGCACACCGAGTAATGAGAGGCTGGTGTTGTTGTGTGACCGTGGTTTCACACAGACACACACAAACTTTTTCCAAACCATCACAGCCCAACCGGTGAAAAACAACGGTATGCTCTATGGGAAAAGCTGAAGTCCAGGCGCTGCCAAATCTCACTCTCATCACATAAAAGCCCTGCATTGATTTGGACCCCCCTGGCTCATATTCCTGCCTCATTATGTGCTACTGTTTCACTTTTTATCAAATCTCACCCTATGTGGTGCACAGTTTGAAGGTACTTTTGATGTCATGTTACAATGTGTTTTTCACAGCAATTGCTCTTTAAAGGACATCCTGATGAAGAAGGTGGCTACAAATGTCAATCATCAGCAACTGCTGCACCGAGGGACTGAAATGGGGGTTATTAAAATAAACATCATAAAAGGCAAATAGGTTTTCTACTGGAAGATGTTGTATTCTCTTTCATTCTTTCCTGACTGAGGCCTGTGGAGATGGAGCTCTACTCAGTTTGACTGATTTTGAGAACTAGATGCAATGACGGGGGTAAAGTTTATTTTTTGCAAGTTTATATTTTGTTTCAGGTTACCTTGAAACATCCTTTATAGAGTGAATTTGTTCCAGTTTTGTCGCAAGGAAAGAAAAATTTTGTAAACTGAAATTTGAAAAACACAAAAAATGCAATCTAGAATGAAACTTTGATTTGAATTTTTATTTAAAAAAACGTTTTTGGGAGTAACTTTGCTGTTTTCTCAGACTTTGTTAGTTTCTTATTATTTAAACTTATTTTCTATTTAATATTATTTCAGATGTCAAATTTTTCAAATTTTCTTTGTAGAATTTTCATTTTAAAATGTCAGTTTTAGGTCAGATTTCTGTTGTTGGGTTCAGTTTTCTGAATTATATTTTTTTCAAAATGAGTTTCACAGATCACATCCTCTTTAGCCGCTTTAGCCTATTCTTGTGCTACGGTAAATGAAAATTAGCCTCATATTCTTTCATTTTCAACTTTGACTTCCCCCTCTGGCAGTCAGGAAAAATCCCTGCTGCACAGTTCAAGGCGTGGGATAAAAATAGCGGCTTATATTCCAGAAAATACGGTAATAATGTGCTAAATAAAAGCTTCACTGCACATACATTGACAGCATTTAGTATTTTCCATTTCTTTCTATATATTCTGATCTCACATTAGAGTGAAATATGAGGTTATATTGTGCAGGATTTTCATTTTCCAAATTTCACAAACCTACAAAGTTTGTAGGTTTGTGAACTGGGTTAATTTTTTTTGAAAAAGTGTTCTTTTTACTATGAACTGGCACAACATTGGTCTTTGGGATGAACTCGTTATTGTCTGAGGGTGTTGTTGCGTTTGAAATTCACTGGTTTGTTGTGTTTAGAGAAAATCCTTCTGAGTTTCTCAGAAATGTCATGAAATTACAGCGTTATTGCCTCTCTCTGTTTTCTCCACTGTGTTCAATGCACTGCATCAAGAGTAACACTGCATTGAGCACAGAGGAGAAAACAAAGAAGCTAAGCCATCACTGAGGGGGAAGCCTGTGGTTTCAGTTCCCAAGCATCTACAATTCAGTCCTGGAACTCAGTCAGAAAATTACATAAGAACACTCAGCATGATTCAAATGGACAAACACATAATCCATACACAACAAAAGAATCCAACGACCCACAAATATCGATGGGTGGGTCTTTGATTTGTATCTGAGTTAAGCCTGTTTTGTAATAAGTGAATTTTCATCACCTCATGTGGCAGACTGCAGGATTTTAGCTATTTTGGTTTGGAATAAATGTAGTTTTACCTCATTTAAAAAAAAAATTAATGATTATATTTGAATTTGAATAAATTTTGCTTTGTTTATCCACATTTTTTGTATTTTTTTATTGACGTGACTTTGTCTTCCATTAGTGGTTTCTCACTGGTTTTTAATTCCAAATCTGTTTCCATTTCTATAGCAAAGACCTCAGGTTAAATCTCAAACAATGAACATTCGAAGCACATATCAGAAAACATTCACTTAAACTTAACGCCAATCATGAAATAAAAATGAATCCATGCTAATTTATGTGATGAATATATTATTTCAAAATACACTTGAACTGGTTTTACACACATATGGGAATTATGCTTTCTGAATTTCTAACCCAGGATAAATGAGCTAGGATGGAGCTCTTCAACAGGGGGTCCGCGACCCCTAGGGGGTCCACAGAGGTACTACATGGGGGTCTCGTTGATTAAACTTTTTTTTTATATCCCCCCTGCAATTTTTTCCACTAATTGAAATGTCTTTAAATACACATTAACATGAATTAAACACACTATAGTAAACAGGTAAGTGGAGGCAGAAGGTGTCTTTCAGTCATCAATGCACACATTCAGCGACACACAGGAGCTCTTTCAAGCTGGGCACCGTTTCATTCACAACACCTGTCCCATCAACCAGGAATCAGAATCAGAAATACTTTAATAATCCCAGGGCAAAATTATTTTCCTTACATTACTTCATCTGATTTGATCTGACTATAGGACCAGTTTCATATATAACACAATTTCATATATAAAATTAGGGGGTCCCCTCCAGGGGCGAAGATAGATGTGGGGCCACGGGTGGCCATGGCCACCCTTAGCCAATCATTGGCCACCCCTGTGGCCACCCCTACCATTTTTTCTCCCTCTAATACAGATGGTGGCAGCAATTTATGTAGATATTAGTACTTGTAAGGATCAATTTTATGCAGAATTATCATTGATAAAAGGAGGTAATTAATGACAATGGAAAATATGTTTGCACCAGAACTCAAACCTCAAAGAATTGTATCCACTATACTTTTTATCTGGAAATCACAGATGCTGCAATATTTATGCGTCTATTTGTCAACAAAGGTTGGAAGAAAGTATAGTTTGTCGTTATTTAGAAAATATGGATATTGTGCCCATTAATTTTCCTGTTGTAGAATGACCCTGAGGTTCTGGGGCCTATCAACTTTCGGCCCTTCCTCAATGTACATTGGTTATTGCCTGGTACCCCCTATAAAAATTTTCTGGCTACGCCTCTGTTGCATGTATTAGAGGGAAATAAATGTTAGTGGTGGCCAATTATTGGCTATGGTGTTATCCTGGCCCCCCATCTAGCTCCGCCCGTGGACAGGGCCCCTAAGAATTTTGGGGCCCCTAAGCAACTGCTGTCTCTCAATCCAATCCAATCCACTTTATTTATATAGCACATTTAACAACAGAATAAGTTTCCAATGTGCTGTACATAACAAATAATAAACACCAATACATAAACAGAATACACAATTGCTGATAGTCAGGCCATTGGTGGCCTGAGAGGCGTTCATTGTTTAGCCTTGATGGGAAAAATATGGATAAGATATATCAGCTTCCTTTAAGAACAGCAGGCAGCCAAAGAGTCCTTAGATAAATGCTTCCAAACATCAGACACACATTTAGGGGCGATCCAGTGATTTCCGTTCAAGGCAGTGGGAGGCGCGCGCGGCGTCCGTATCCCTTAATTTGATGTGAGCGCGCAATCATCCGGCCAACCAACCGCGCGGCGCGCGAGCCCGCTCTACTTCAACCAACCCAGCAGAACCAAACCGAGCCGAGCTGAGCTGAACCAGTCCCACTGTCAGACAGCAGGCGCTCAGGAATGACCTCTTAGCTAATCTTTTAATAAAGAAAAAAAAACGTTTTTTGTTTTTTTTCTGTCTGAAAGGTTGATCTCATCCAAATCGTGGACTCTACAGTTATGAGGACCGATGTTTGCATCTGGCAGCTGCTTCTAATCAGCCACACAGGTGAGAAATGAAATGTGTTTGGTGAAGAAAATGAAAAGAAATGTCTCCTCGCTGTTTGATCGTTTAAGATGCGCGGCTGTTGGATTCCCATGAGCATCAGATCACTTTTCGGATTATGCAATCGGTGCAAGACAGACGCTTTTTGCACGTTAAATTATAAATGTGCGGTGTTTTTTTTCTTTCTATTTTTCGTATTTATTCGTTTTTTTTTTTATTAGATTAAATCCTCTGGGATCTGAACATCCACCAACTGTTTCTCTAAAGAAAATGATGTTCTGCAGAGTGCGCCCCAAGACAAAGCTTTAAATGTTTGTTTATTTTGTAGAATAAATGACAGTAAATTTGTATCTTTCTAGGAAAATAAGCAATCCTTGTGAATGCCCGTTGTCTGCATGCATTGCTACTTAAAGAGTCTGAGAACATGACTGGCTGCAGAGTTCAGTAACAGGTGGGGGCGGGGGAGGGGGGTGATAGTGAAAGAGCAACTTTATAAAATCTGTTTATAATTACAAACTAAAGGGAGATTGATCAAAGGAATTTTATTCCGAGTTTCAAAAAATTGGTAATCTGGATTACCACATTGCAGAAGCATGGAGAGGATGTTTTTAGTCTGGCCTCAAATATTCATTTTCATTTATCTATCTTTTAATGGGATGATGTTTTGCAATGTTCAACCCTTAAGCATTTTTTTTTGCATTTGTACTTTTTTTCTGCCAGCTCAGTTACAGGGCGTTATATTTAGTTTTGTTGCAGCATTATTCCAAATGGAAATATTGATTTAATATATTTTTCTCCAAAATTTTACAAACAATGCGCTATAATGAAAGTGAGGATTAAGTTTTTCTAAGGTTCATGCAAAACTAGGAATTCACAAACTCTTCTCTCCCTCTGGTTTGTTGGGAAATGTCTGTGGAGCCATTTTCAGATCTTTCCAGATCATAATCTGTAATCTGGTTTAGCAACTCCAAGACGTCCCATAGTGGTTCTGATCCATTTCTCCAGTCTGAGCACTCCAGGATGTCTCTGTTTATTGCTGCAATCGTTTTCACTATCCTGCCAGCTCCTGCTGCTGAAACGCATCTCTTTAGCATGATGGTGCCACCACCATGCTTCACTGCAGGGATGGCACTGGCTACCTTGGTCAACCAGACTCCCTAGTGTAAAATAGACCAGACCAATCACAACCTATAATGCAATGATACTTTTTTTTATTTTTTTTAACCATGACTGATATGTTTGCAGCTGCAATGAGCAGTGTTTTAAGGCCCTTTATATGTCCTGAAAGCGGTGTTTATATTGTTAAAACTGGTTGGTTAAGATCTGCAAATCTGGTATTCGCAGCAGAAAGTGTGATTTTTGTCTCAACAGACAGGAAAATGATTGTTTGATCCCTTTAGAATCCTTAATAACAACTTGCTTTTAGGTGCCGGTGAATATTCCTTATCCAGATTATAGTCATTCCAAAAAAGTAAAAAAAACAAACAAAAAACAATCCACTGAATCCACTTCCCATCCAGGAAGCTTTTTCAATTCAAAGTGTCAGTATTAAGTAAACTAGTAAGTAAGTAAGTACACTTTATTTGTATAGCACTTTTCACAGACAAAGTCACAAATTGCTTCACATGATGACATATGGTATATATTAGCATTGAGTTCAAAATTTTATAAGGTAGCCTTAAAACTTGTTGTTTTATTATAATTCATGCAGGGAGTTTTACAGGTTATATGGACACTGCAATGTAAGTAGAACAGGAAAGGAAAAACAGAAAAAAGGAGAAAAGATGAAAGAGGAGATAAAAGGGAGATGACAATAAAACATTTTCAGTCTGCTTCATCGCCTGCAAAGAGATGTAAAAAGAATCAGCACAACCAATGGATATAGTATAAGAGATACAATAAAGTAGCACCTTGATACTATCGCTGGAGTATGAGTAGTATTATTTAATCTGACATGTATACAGAACGTAAGAATATGGAAGTGAATCTCCCAGTTCCTGGGGCCAAGCACCTGTAGTTGTGAGAGTGTACTTGTGCATGTAAAGTTTATCCAAAGGAAAAATGCTCAGTAGTGGTGTGAGGAGCCGAAGAGGTGCCCCCCCAGAGCACTGAGGCGAGCGCCGGGGGACCAAAGCCCCAGACGCCCAAAGGGACCCTAAGAGCTAAGGCGCCAAGGAGGGGTCAACCCGGAAAATCCCATGGCCGGATCGACTTCGGGGTGCCCCACCCCCTGGCGGGAGCCCCAGTTTTGGCTTAGAAAACAATCAAATTGAACCAAAAGAATGGGTCCACGCCTTAGGAATGGGGAGTTTATATAAAGCTCGGAACCCAACGCTAATTCTCACATTTTGAATTGAAAAACTTCCTGGATGGGAAGAGAAACGTCTTCAAACTTGGAAACAAATTCCAGTGGATTGTTTTTTTATTTTTTTACTTTCTTGGAATTGCTTATGCTGGCTGTTGCAGGTTCGCGTCCTAGCCCTGCTGGCCATCCACAGATGTCTCTCCACTCTCTTCTCACCCACTTTCCACTTTACTTTCAAAAATAACAAAATAAATACCATTAAGGCTTCCTAATAAAGAAATGGGTGTCTTTTATCCGACTGTTCCACCATACAGGCCTTATTTGTGGATTGTCCTTCTGTGAGGGCCCCCCCCCTCTCTCTCAGGCGAACGCTTTAAAGTGATGCAGCTGTAGGAGGAGTTCTGGTGGTTCCAAACTTCTAACATTTATAATAGTTGAAGGAAACTCACTTAAAAACTTCATAGAAACAGAAATATTTCTGTATCATTTGCCAAATCTGTCTAAAGTCAATTGTTTTGACTTCATGCTTGATGTTTAAAATCTGAAATTCCCTTTCAGCTCTGGGACTTTTAAATAGACATCGGTGGCTTTACTAATCATATCCAATCAACCAAATGGATAGATAGATACTCAATCACTGCAATCATCTATAAGTGTATGTATGTAGCTTATAATATTCATTGTTATTCATTATTTTATCATTTATACATCTTTGTAATATATTTCTATCATTCAATGTATGCATATATAGATATTTGTGTGTGTGTATATATATATATATATATATAGATGGATATTAAGGTGCTGTACATAACGAATAATAGAAAAATATTTAGATATTTTCAAGACTGTGTATTGTGTATATATTGGAATATTCTCAGTGTTTAACTCTTAAGAATACTGAAATACGCTGAACTATGTATCTTCATACATGTAGCCATTATAGCTCTATTTGGAAGGCGAGCGACACAAAAGGTGTTAAATGTTTCATTTTCAGTGAGTTATGGTTGATTAAATGAGCGGATACCTCATTAAACTTTATAGATGTTTATGATCTGTAATAAAAGCTGCATCATGGATAGGCTAGGATGCTTTATCTCAAAGTTTAACTGTATTTATGTTTTCTTTTCTCAACCATTTTGGTTGCACGGAAATCCCACACTGGAAAACCAATGTTAGTCCAAGGCAATGTTTTATTACGGCTGTTTAGTGACGGATATGATCAAAAGGCTAAAGCTAAGTTTTCTCTAATCCATTTACCCTTCTTGTCTGCTGAGGCCCTACTTGTGTCCAATTTAAGCCGGCCTTAAAATGTCAACCATTACAGTGGCAGCTCCTGTAAAACAGCAACTCTTCTCTTTCATGCTTAAAGGTCTACCTCACATTCGGTGCCTGTAATAAATCTATTTTTAAAACAGCTGTTTTTGTGAAAAGATTTTAATTTGCTCGTTCCACTTGGCCGCTTTGATTTTAAGTGTTTCACAGATGATCACCCCTATAAAGCTGTTTTTCATGATCTCTTCGATTGACTTTGCATAAAATACAAGTGGCTCTTCTGTAATTATTCTAATAAAGAAAAATGATTTGAAATAATCTTGGGAATGCCTTCATCTCCCAGTCTTTTCATTCTCAGGAAAAGCTTTGATGGTTTGATTAAAACTGGGGTAAAACAAGGAGGACGCTACCTTATTTCTCATTCCCTCCTAACAGGGTGATTTGATTTATTTTGGCTTTTTTTTTTCCTTCTCAAAGGATCCACAGAAGATAACGCGCATGACATTCTGCCCCGGAAGCCCAGATGAGGGTTTTTTAATGTCCTCAATTTGCTTTGATGTGATTTCTCTGTGATAATGTTTTACCCATTAGAGTGAAAACCACATGAACTGTAACGTGTGACAGAAATACAGACTTGTTGCTGAAGTTACAGGAAGCAGAGCCTTAAATTTTTTCCACATATTTCTCTGGTTTTTATCCTCTTTTTGACACTTTTTTTTTTTTCTATAATAATGTAAAACTCCTTGTTATCCTAAAAAGAGAGCATAGAACTATTAACCATTAAAGGCTCCACCTCTTTTCAGACCTGCTCTGTGCAGTACTAGTTACACCATGAAAAAAGAAAATGAATAAAACGTCCTTTCATCCTTTTAAGGTTGGTTCGTGCATCATGCATAAGATAGGCTCTATGCATGCACCTTAAGGCTCTATGCATGCACCTTAAGGCTCTATGCATGCACCTTAAAGCTCTATGCATGCACCTTAAAGCTCTATGCATGCACCTTAAAGCTCTATGCATGCACCTTAAAGCTCTATGCATGCACCTTAAGGCTCTATGCATGCACCTTAAGGCTCTATGCATGCACCTTAAGGCTCTATGCATGCACCTTAAAGCTCTATGCATGCACCTTAAGGCTCTATGCATGCACCTTAAGGCTCTATGCATGCACCTTAAGGCTCTATGCATGCACCTTAAAGCTCTATGCATGCACCTTAAGGCTCTATGCATGCACCTTAAGGCTCTATGCATGCACCTTAAGGCTCTATGCATGCACCTTAAAGCTCTATCTCTCTGGTTCCTTTCCCTAAAAAGAGATCATTCTGGACAAACTCTTTAAACTCCCTTAAAAATAAGGGTTTGTGCTTTCCTCGCCGAACATGACCTCTCATTCACACTAGATATACTGTAGATGCACTTTTGCCA